ACATTTGAAGTTCTGCACCTCCACGGAGATGGAAACACTGCAATCGAGCACCATTGACTCGCAAGAAGAACAAAGTGGTGATATCAGAAGAACAGATGTGCAGGAAGTCAGGGACCCTGAACGGAGGGACTGGCTGAAGCCATGGAAGAAAAACACGAAATGTGAAGATTTCATGAACATTTATTAGTTCCCTAAATTAATACTTTTATAATTTCCTATGCCTGTCTTTAATCTCTTAATCCCATCATCTTCTTTGTAAACTGAGGATATATGTCACCTCAGAACACTGTGATGATTGTGTTAACGGCACAAATTGTTTGTAGAGCATGTGTGTTTGAACAATATGAAATCTGGGCATCTTGAAAAAAGAACAGGATAACAGCGATGTTCAGGGAACAAGGGAGGTAACCTTGAACTGGCCGCTGGTCAGCCAGACGGAACAGAGCCATATTTCTCCTCTTTTTAAAAGCAAATAGGATAAATATCACTGAATTCTTTTTCTCAGCAAGGAACATCCCTGAGAAAGAGAATGCGCTCTGAGGGTAGGCCCATAAACGACCCCCTTGGAAGCGTGCCGCCTTTTACGGTCGAAGCTGAAGGGATGAAATAAGCCCGGTCTCCTGTAGCACTCCCAGGCTTATTAGGACGAGAAAATTCCTGCCTAATAAATTTTGGTCAGACAGGGTGTCTGCTCTCAAACCCTGTTTCCTGATAAGATGTTATCAATGACAATGCGTACCGGAAATTTCATTAGCAATTTTAATTTTAATTTTAACGCCATCCTGTGGTCCTGTGATCTCATCCTGCCTCCACTTGCTTTGTGATATTTTATTACCTGGTGAAGTATGTGCTCTCTGTGTTGGTACCATAAACTGAGGCAATTGCAGGAGTTGCTGATGGCCTCGCAAATCTTAACTTCAGTTAAGACCATCTAAAGTACTACTATTGTAAATTTCATATTAATCCTTGTGTGCCTGTGCTGTTAGTCTGCAGGTACACCCAACAGTTCCAAAGAGACAGCGACCATCGAAAACGAGCCATGATGACAATGGTGGTTTTGTTGAAAAGAAAAGGGGGAAATGTGGGGAAAAGAAAAACAGATCAGACTGCTACTGTGTCTATATAGAAAGAAGTACACATAAGAGATTCCATTTTGTTCTGTATTTGAGATGCTGTTAATCTGTGATCCTACCCCCAACCTTGTCTGCAAGAGACACGTGCTGTGGTGACTCAAGGTTAATGGATTTTGGGCTGTGCAGGGTGTGCTTTGTTGAACAAGTGCCTGAAGGCCAGTATGCTTGTGAAAAGTCAGACACATTCTCTTAATCTCAAGTACCCAGGGACACAGGACCTCTGCCTAGGAAAGCTAGGTATTGTCCAAGGTTTCTCCCACGTGATAGTCTGAAAATAGGCCTCGTGGGAAGGGAAGACCTGATCATCCTAGCCTGACACCCATGAAGGGTCTGTGCTGAGGAGGACTAGTATAAGAGGAAAGAAGGCCTCTTGGCAGTTGAGATAGAGAAAAGCATCTGTCTCCTGCCCGTCCCTGGGCAATGGACCCTCTCGGGTGTAAAAACCGATTGTATGTTCTGTTTACTGAGAAAGGAGAAAACCACCTTAGGGCTGAAGGTGGGACGTGCTAGCAGCAATGCTGCTCTTTATGCACTAAAAAGGTTTATGGAGATGTTTGCATATGCATATCAAGGCATAGTACTTTTCCTTAAACTTATGTCACAGAGATCTTTATTCATATGTCTTACTGCTGACCTTCTCCCTATGATGATCCTATTATCCTCCCACTTCCCTTTTTCTAAGATGGCAATGATAATGATCAATAAATACTGAGGGAACTCAGAGACCAATGCCAGCATGGGTCCTCTGCATGCTGAGCACCGGTCCCCTGGGCCCACTTTTTCTTTCTCTATACTTTGTCTCTGTGTCTCATTTCTTTTCTCAAGTCTCTCGTTCCACCTAACGAGAAATGCCCACAGGTGTGGAGGAGCAGGCCGCCCCTTCACCAAAGGGAAACCGGAGCCTAATCAAGTGTCTTAAACACATCAAGTTTGAAATGCCTATGAAACACCCAAGTGGAAATGCTGAGTAGGCAGCTGGACTCCAGGTATCAATCAAGTCTGGGAACCGAGTTTGGAACATACCAGCAAACATCAAGCCACTAACGAGGATTAGGTCACCTGGAGATTCCTAATTCCATGGAACAGAGGGCCTGAGATTGACATGGCCAACATTTAGACAAGAAGTCTGCTGAGGCTCAATCCAGGTCTCAGGCCAGAACTGTTAGGGCAAGAAGCTCCTTCCTCCTGAGAAGAGAGCCATGCCTGGTGGCTGCCATGCTGGTTCCCTGAGGATGACACCTGCTCAGGAATGAAGGCAACATGGACAAAGGACCGAGGCAAGGGACTGGACCCAGGGAACCAGATCCCTGCCATTTTCTGTACTTCCTCTAACACAGGTGGTCAGCACACTCTTTCACTCGTTATCCAATTTTATCAAAAATAGAGACTAGGGCAATGTGACATAACAGCATTAAGCACTAAACCATTTGACAGGAATTCCTTTCAAAAGTGAAAAACAGTGTATAATTATATAGCTTCTCCACTAATCTTTGTTACCAACAGCCACTTAATCTAATCCTAAAGACTGAGTACGATATTCTTTCTACAATACTTCAAACAGTCACTTCGATTTATTGTATATTTTCTAAATGCACCTCTCTCTCTCTGTTCTGAGAGAACATTTCATCACAAAACAAATGGGGTCTTTTGCCTATCTGATGGTCTCACACCTTCACAACAGCTCCAAATCCTTGGACCAGCCAGGGACAGACCAACCCCAGGGTTCTCTGCCAACAGAAGTCCTGGAAAGGCTCTGCACTCAAAACAAACCCCTACACCACCCCAAGGGAGGGGGAATGTTCCAAGTTGGGGGAGAAGCTAAAAGAAATTGAACCTAAACTCTTCATCAGGAGTGTCCAGAGTGGCTTTGGCTCGCCCTATAGGGCGAGGCCTGCAGACCCTTCGGCTCTTCTTTCTGGTGGCTCCATCTACAGGCTGCACCTGGGCTAAATAAGCAGCTGTCAGGGGAGAGAAGCAGCGTATGTGAGAACTGAATAACAATAGCTAACATTACCTGTACAGTTATGTTTGCCCATACAATTCTAACCACTTTGAATAAATTAACTAATTCCTCAAATTTGTAAGGTTGATATTACTATCACCCACCATTTAGAGAGGTTCAGTAGTTTGCAAAAGGTGTTAGTACTACTATGTGGTAGATCCAGGATTTGAACCTAGCTCATCTGGCTCCAGGAATTGCACTCAAACTGTTATGGGATATGGCTTCATTGCCAGTAGAGAGAGCCAAGACACAAAGACATAAGGCAGCTTTCCCCAAGCCAGGAGCAGGACCAACACAGGGCCACACTCTTTCCTGCTCCTCCCATGACCTCCCCGCTGCTTCCCAGGTTCAGTCCTGGGAAAAGGAGAGACAGGTCCATCCTTGCTCTTTCCCTGTTCCCTCAGGCTTCCCTGAGCTCATCTCCTTCCCCCACCAGCCTTGTTGCTCCGGGCCTTCTTCCTTTCACCCCCTAGGCACTTCCTCCTTAAATTAGGCCTTCCTAAATCAACCAGTTACTAGCTCCTCACCAGATCTGAGAGCCCGCAGGGCCTCACGCCATTCAGCTTCCATCTGAGCCCTATAGTCTCCAAACAAGGAGTGCATCAACTGCCTCTTTCGGGGCAGGGGCGTTCTTTTGCTGCGCAGGGTTCGGATTGCTCCAATAGCCTGCTCTTCTGCGAATAAAAACAAAGGACTAGTGAAAACCTCTACTACTGACCTCCTACCGCCCCACCGCAAAGGAAACAACTTCACCTCTGCCAGCACCTGCAGGCCAGGCGGTGCCACTGTTCACATTCCCCAACTCTATAGAAAGGTCCCTTACTCTGTTTCGGGGTGGGTTTCTGCCTCTTGAGGCCAAGCTCCAGTTGTTCCACACACCAAGCCAATTCCTGGGCCAACTGCTGCGCCTGTGACGGATTTGGGGAAGTGGCTGTGAGAGGGCACTGGGACACAACACAGCGCCTGGCCCCATCCCATCCCCCTCCCCGCCTTAACTCTGCGGACCCCAGATCACATGTGCCCGTGGATTCGCACCAGGGGATTCCACCCTTCCTGACTGACGCCCGCCCTTGCCTGGGCCTCAGCGCTTAGGGGCACTTCTTCTGGGGCGGGTTTCTCTGAGGCCTTCTCGCCTCCATTTGCCACAGAGGCCCTGTTCCGGGTTTTCTTCTTATTCTTTTGTTTTTTCGACGTTGCACTGCCTTCATCGCCTAACGGGTGCGCTCTGGTGTCGGCGTTACTGCTCGTGGGTTGCCCTGGGCAGAGACAGACAGTGGAGGGATTCCGGACGCTGGAAACCAGGCCGGGAAGCCGGTGTCTGCGCGACGCGCAGGGAGTACCCGGGCCTGGGGCCGCCGCTGCCTCCCCGGCAAGATGTCCTAGGGCCTGGAGAAAGGGGGGCAGCACGAGGGTCACGGAGGGCCACCGACAGTGCGACGCCCAGCCACCCGCGCGTCTTCTCCACACCGCTCACCGCCATGCTCCGCAGTCGCCACCGGAACTACGCGAGGCGCAGAGTCCGACGTCGAATTGCGTCCTCCAAGAGGGCGCCTGCGACTCTAGGTTCCGCAGGGTCGCGGGCGGGGCGGGGCGGGGCGGGGCGCGGGGGCCCTGAGGGGAAGGGGCGAGGCTGGGGCGGGATGAAGCTGGGGCGCGGCGAAGGTGGGACGGGGCTGGGACCTGGCTGAGGCGAAGCTGGGACGGGGCTGGGGCGGGGCGAGGCCAGGCGGGGCGGGGGCGGGGGCGGGAAGGGGACGGGCGGGGAGGGGCGAGGAGGGGCTGGGCGAGGCTGGGGCGGGATGAAGCCGAGGCGAAGCTGAGACAGGGCCGGGGCGGGGCTGGGGCGAGGGCAGGGCGGGGCGAGGCCGGGGTCGGGGGTGCCTGGGGGATCCGGAAAGAGGCTGCAGGGCGGTCTCGGAAGGAAGCGTGTGAGCGAGTGCTCGCGGGCACCGACTATGTGCCCGGCACCTTTCCGGATAAAAGTTCAAAGCTCTACACAAGGGTGTGTCTTCTCAAAGCTCACCTTTTGGTGGGGAGGGAAAAGCAAGTAAACAGAACTTGAGCAGCTGTGGCGCAGGAGGGTGGTCGGCAAAGACCCCTGGGAAATGGGGAAGAGGCGCAGGCCTGGGACCCGGCGCAGCCCGCGGCGCTCGCTCCGAGAGGATCAGGGCATGGTCGGTTGAGAGGCCGGCGACGCGGGACGTGGGGGCTCCGGTGAGGTCTGTGAGTTGGGAGGGCCCCCGTCATGGAGGTTTACTTCCGTTCTAAGGCAGTGGGAAGTTGCTGCAAGATGTAAATCTGAAGAGTGGCATAATCGTAGACGTGTGTTCTGCGGATCTCTCTGCTCCTGTGCAACGAGTAGGGCACGTGGGGTGGAGGGATGTGGAGGGATTTCAAAAGCAGACGCGGGAAGAGCCTTGGACAGGATATGGGCGTGAGGGAGGGTGGCGGTATGGGGGAGAGGGAGAGCCCAATCCCACCACCTCTCTTCTCCAGGATGCTTTCCTCCCACTATACCTTGCTGGAGACCTGGGGTCACACACAACACTCGACCCCCGCCGATGGAGGCCTGACAACCGAGAGGAATTGCGTAGGGGCTGAGGTGAGACTGAGTGGGGCTTCAGGAGCGGGGTAGGCCAGGAGGGTGGGTTGTGTTGCTTGAGAAGGTGAGAGTTCGACTTGTCTGATGATTCCTGTCGAGGACACAGGAGTGGAAAGTGGTGTTTCCTGAGACCGTGGGATGGGAAATGTTAGCTGCCTGGTCTGCAAGGTCTGGAAGGGTAAAAGTTTGGTCATCGCTGGTAGTTATTTACTGCAGTGTGGCAGATTACCCCCAAAATTCAGCAGATTGGCCGGGCGCGGTGGCTCACGCCTGTAATCTCAGCACTTTGGGAGGCCGAGGTGGGCGGATCACGAGGTCAGGGGATAGAGACCATCCTGGCTAACACGGTGAAACCCCGTCTCTACTAAAAAAAAAAAAACAAAAAAATTAGCCGGGCGTGGCAGCGTGCACCTGTAGTCCTGGCTACTCTGGAGGCTAAGGCAGGAATGGCGTGAACCCGGGAGGTGGAACTTGCAGTGAGCTGAGATCAAGTCACTGCACACTACCCTGGGCAACAGAGCGAGACTCCGTCTCAAAAAAAAAAAATCAGCGGATTGAAAACAACACATATTATCTCATACTATTCTGAGGGTCAGGAATCTAGCAACAGTGTAGCTGGATGGTTCTAGATCATAGCCTCTCATGAAGTTGCTTCACCTTTTGAAGAGAGGAAGACTTTTTAGACATTTTAAAACCACCACAGTTTGGTGTGCATTTTGGTCCCAGGAGACTGGAGGTTTGAGTAGGGAGTGCACTCCAGCTCCAAAAGGGCCTTTCTCTGTCTCAGTTGACTGGTCTAGAACTGCTTCTTCCAGAAAACCTCAGCCCAGACATCTCCCTGAACAGAGGCCTCACACCAGATTCTTTCCTCTTCCCTAGGCAACAGGTCCTATCCAGTTATTTCCTAAATAATCTCCACTGCCACCCCCACCCCCACGCTCCCACACACATCATCCCACAGCATGAACAACTGCAACGAATTCATCACTCATCTCTGTGCTTCCAGTCTCAGTCCTTCCTGTCTTTCCTGAACCACCTGCTGCTAGAGTGATCTTTCTAAACAAAAACTGACCATGACAGTGGCCATGCCTGCTGCCTAAAAATCTTCCATTTTCTCTGGATAAAGTCCAAGGTCCTTAATTGCCATGGACTACCCTTTGCCTGACTGTCCAGCCAGCCCATGCCCTACAAATCATACATACCTGTTTCTATGTACTCTGCCTCCACTGAGCCCCTCAATCCTCTGAGGATGCAGCAAGAAGGCCTTCACCAGATGCAGCCCCCCAATCTTGGACTTTGCAGCCTCCAGAACCAGGGGCCAAATAAATTTATTTTCTCTGTAAATTGCCCAGTCTCACATATTCTTTTATAGCAGCAAAAAACAAAGACAGGCACCTTGACTATTCTTGGCCCTTTGTCTTTGTGTATACTTTTCATTATTTATTTTTTTGAGACAAAGTCTCACTCTATCACCCAGGCTGGAGTGCAGTGGCATGAGCTTGGCTCACTGCAACCTCCACCTGCGTGATTCAAGTGATTCTCATGACTCAGCCTCCCAAGTAGCTGGGACTACGGGTGCACGTCACCATGCCCATCAAATTTTTATATTTTTAGTAGAGACCGGATTTTGCTATGTTGGCCAGGCTGGTCTTGAACTCGTGACCTCAAGTGATCTGCCTCAGCCTCCCGAAATGCTGGGATTACAGGCATAAGCCACTGCTCCTGTACATGACCAGCACGTACATTTTTAAAATCAGCTTTTTTTCCTATTAAAAACCTCTTTGAGATTTTTGTTAGAATTGAATTAATTCTATAGAGCATTTTGGGGGGAATTGAATCTCCATATTTAGTAATCATGAGACTAACCCGAACCTGGTATACCTCTTCATTTACATAAGGTTTTTTTTTTAATATTTTTAGTACAATTTTATAACTTTCTCTATGAATACCTTTCACATTGTGTTAATTATTCCCAGACATGTCATTTTTCATTGCCACCAGCATTCAAATTGAAGCATAAATAATCTATATCCTTATGGTAGATTAAGAAAAAGTTTGGTTTTTTTCCCAGGTTCCTGGCAGAGAGCTCCTAAAACCCTTGGAATTTCCTCAGTGATAAGGGTGACAGCAGCATATTTTGTTCTGAGGTGACTCTTGGCAAGCCCCTAGATAGCTTTAGGATAGGGGCTGGTCACCAGAAAGATCAAGCCTTGATTAGAAGCTTGGAAGTTCTGACCCACCCTTCAACCTCTGGGAAGGGGAAAGGGGCTGGAGATCGAGTTAATCGCCAATGGACACAATTATGCCTGTATAATGAAACCTCAATAAAAACTCCAAAATGACTGAGTGGGCAGCTTTTGAGTTAGCTCATGTATCTATGTGCCTAGTAAGTGCTGTGCCCAGCCTCCACAGAGACAAGGGCTTTTGTGCTTGGGACTCTTCTGGATCTTGCCCTGTCTGAATCTGTCTGTTCATTTGTATCCCTTATCATTAATGGTAATGGTAAGTATAGCATTTTCCTGAGTTTTGTGAATCATTCTAGCAAATCATTAAATCTGGGAGAGAGGCTGGCTTTGGGGAATACCTGACTTTATAGCAAAGTCAGACAGAAGTGTGGGTAACCTGGGTACCCACCCAGGTTATTTTTGCAACTGTTGTCTTAAGTGAAGGCAGACTTGTGGGACTTACCCTTAAACCTGTGGTCTGATGCTCACTCTGGCAGGCAGTAAGAGAATCAAACTGAATTGTTGGACATTCAGTTGGTGCTAGAGAAGGCACCACCTATTTTGTGTCAGGAGAGGAAAAACCTCTTAACCCGTAATAATTTATTTTTTGTCTCTCTGGTCTATCAATTAGTAAGAGAGGCATATAACACTCTCCCACTATGATGGTGAATTTGTGTATTACTCTTTGCTATTCTATAATTTTAGGTATATTAGAGATTTTTTTCTTCTGCAAATTTAAAATATTGGTACCTTTCTGGTGAATATGAATGTTTCAGAATTATGTAACGACATTCTTTTAACTATAGTAAAACTTTTAGTTTGGCAGTTGATTTCATGTGATAGTTACAAAGCTTCAACAGCTTTCTCTTCTCTATTCTCTTACTTTCAAACTTTGTGCTCAAGTTTTAAGATCTCCATATGGCTTGATCTTTTAAATCTAGCCTTGCAATCTTTGCCTCATGACAGGAAAATTTAGCCCTACTGATAGATATTTTATTAGTTTTATCCTGTTTGTCTTTGTTTTTCCACACCTTTTTCCATTTCTCACTTCACTTTGGATTAATTATAGATTTTTTCTCTCTTCCCACATTTCTCTCTCTGCTGGTTTGGAAATTAGGTGCTCTATTTTTATTCTTTCAGTAGTTGATCTTGAAATTTTAATATGCATTCTTAATGTATAAAATTCTTAAGTTAATATTTTTACTTTCCTCATGACTAATGCAAGAATCTTTTGTTGATGGCTATTGTGAGACCTCGGTTCTTGTCTTTGTAGTTTAAAATAATTTGGCCGGGCACGGTGACTCACACCTGTAATCCCTGCACTTTGGGAGGCCTAGGCGGGTGGATCACAAGGTCAGGAGATCAAGACCATCCTGGCTAACATGGTGAAACCTCGTCTCTACTAAAAAATACAAAAAAAATTAGCCAGGCATGGTGGTGGGCGCCTGTAGTCCCAGCTACTCGGGAGGCTGAGGCAGGAGAATGGTGTGAACCTGGGAGGTGGAACTTGCGGTGAGCTAAGATCACACCCTGCACTCCCGCCTGGGTGACAGAGCGAGACTCCGTCTCAAAAAAAAAAAAAAAAAGTAATTTTTTAAAAACTAGCTGGGAGTAGTGGTGTGTACCTGTAGTCCCAGCTACTTAGGAGGCAGAGGCAAACAGATCACTTGAGCCCAGAAATTCAAGGTTGCAGTAAGCCATGATTGCACCACCCTGCACTCCAGCCTAGAAGACAGAGACCCTGTCTCAAAAAATAAAATAAAATATAGGAGAATGGATGTCAGTAAATAAATGAAAAGCACAAAGTCATTAAAGACACCACCACACAAGAAATTAAAAGCCAAAAAACATCTAATTTTTAAGTTAGGAAAAATTATGAGAAAATATATACCAAGAAGGAAGATGAAAAAAAGAATATGACATCAATTAAGGAAAAAAATAACCGTATACTTCCATAGTTAAAGAGAATGCTTGGGAAAGGGTACTGCTGTAAATTTTCCTGACTATAAGCATCTCAAAAAATCAGTGAAAATGCAGGACAGGAATGTGCATGTCCTGAAGAGAAGGCAGGTATCAGAGCCCTGAAATCTTCTTTATAAAGGGCCCAACTCCAGAGATGGTCTTCCTGTAACAGTCACATTTACTTAGACTGGATTTTGCAAGATTTTAGCATATGCTTCTTTTCTAAAACAGTTAAAGACAGTCCTAAGCTATCAAAGGTACATTTGCTGACAAATATGGCTCTGAGAACACTAACAAAAATTAGTTCATGTCCAGTTATTAACAGTTCCCTTGACCTTACAACTAATTAATGAGGCAGATGAGGTACATTTTTTTATCATCTCCATTTTATAAATGAAGGAAATGGATTTTCAGAGCTTAAGGGACTTGCCCAAGATCTGTAAGCTTGAGTCAAAGTCTTAGACTTTTCAGCTGGTCAGTACATCATAGTGCATGGGCACCAGTCTAGCTGAGTTCTAGTTTGGTCAATTATTAGAAGTGTGACCTTGGCCAAATTACTCAGCTTCTATATGATTTAGGTCCCTTATCTGTGAAGTAGGGAAAAACAATAGTAATTACCGGGATGGTTAACTTTACCTGTCAAGTTGACTAGCCATGGGGTGCCCAGATTAAACATTATTTCTGGGCGAGGGCATTGCTGGATGAGATTAGCATTTGAATCAGTGAGGTAGATTTCCCTTCCCAACATGGGTGCATGTCATCCAATTTGTTGAGGACGTGACATAGAAAAAGTGGAACAAGGAGGAATTTGCCCCTTTATTCCTGTCTCACCTTGAGCTGAGATATCTACTTTCATTTTCTCCAGCCCTGGGACCGAGGTTTATGCCGTCAGCTCCCCTGGTTCTTAGGCCTTTGGATTCTGGCTCAGACTGAATTACACCACTCCCTTTCCTGGGCCTCCAGACTACAGACAGATCATAGAACTCCTCAGCCTCCGTAATTGTGTGAGCCATTCCATATCCATCTACCTATCTAGCTTCTGCTGGTTCTGCTTCTCTAGAGAAGCATGATTAATATGCCACCTGAAGAGGTTGTTCTGGGGAATAAATGGCACAGAATATGCACTCAATAAATGCTAAATGATATCATTGTTGTCAGGGCAAGTGCTGACAGAGCATAATCAGAACTCTCAGTAATGCCAGCTGCCTGAATCCTCTCCCCTGAAATCTTCCCAGGCCCCTCAGGACACACACACAGACACGCACACACATCATTGCCTTCACCCTCTCTTCCCTCCTCCTCACCTCCCAGCCCCCACCTCCATCTGGGAAGGCCTGCGCTGGTGGCTGCACTATATTGTTCTTAGTCCTTCACCATAGAGTCTTTATGGCAACCCCAGCCTATCCATGTGATATGGTTTGGATTTGTGTCCCAGCCACATTTCATGTCTAGTTGTAATCCCCAGTGTTGGAGGAGGGGCCTGGTGGGAGGTGATTGGATCGTGATGGTGGATTTCCCCCTTGCTGCTCTCATGATAGTGAGTTCTCACAACATCTGGTTGTTTAAGTGTGTAGCACCTCCCCCTTTGCTCTCTCTTCCTCCTTCTCTAGCCATGTAAGATGTGTCTGCCTCCCATTGGCCTTCTGCCATGATTGTAAGTTTCTCGAGGCCTCCTGAGCCATGCTTCCTGTACAGCCTGTGGAACTGTCAATTAAACCTTTTTTTAAAAATATAAATTGCCCAGTCTCAGTTATGACAGAATATAGCAATGAAAGAAAAGACTTTCTTTTTCCTTTTTTTTTTTTGAGATGGAGTCTTGCTCTGTTGCCCAGGCTAGAGTTTAGTGGCACAATCTCAGTTCACTGCAAGCTCCGCCTCCCGGGTTCATACCATTCTCCTGACTCAGCCTCCCGAGTGGCTGGGACTACAGGTGCCCACCACCAAGCCCGGCTAATTTTTTTGTATTTTTAGTAGAGATGGGGTTTCACCATGTTAGCCAGGATGTTCTTGATCTCCTGACCTCATTATCTGCCCATCTCAGCCCCCCAAAGTGCTGGGATTATAGGAGTGAGCCACGGCGCCCGGCCTAAGAAGAGACTGATACACCCGCCTGCTGTGTTTAACAGAAGCGCTTGCTCAGAGGCTGACTGAAGAGAAAGTTCTCTCACGAGCATGTTTGTCTCTCAGGAGCCCGCTCACCTCAGCACCTTCCTGGGTCAGCCATCCATGGCTATTTATCCATGCAGCACTGTATCTGACAGATTGTGGAGGGCTTAGTAAAGTCAAAATCTTGCTTCTTGGGAACAGGCTTAGTGGATAACGTCTTCCCAAGATCTCTGGAGCTTCAGTGGGGGTGATAGTGTTACAGTAGGTAGTCAGGCAGTCAGGAGAGCCCCCCACCCACCAGGAACACCAGGTGACCATCAGGGGATAGTCAGGCAGTTGTTGTCTCTTTCAAATAACAATTGGTTGCTGCCAGCACCAGGGAAAGGCAGTCTCCCAACAGATAGAAAACGCCTGAAGCTGGTGATCAGCAGCTTCCCAATAAGATCTTAGGAGCTGGGCAAGCAGGCTGGAGCATGCACACTGGGAGGTGACGTGGCAGAGTTTAACTGGTTGATGACCTTATTGGAAGACTCAACTGGTAAGGAAAGAAACATCTTAAGTGAGCATACACACAACTCCAGTAAACACACTGGGCATGTGCCCCACCTCCACTCCCAAGTGCTGGCAGGCCACTGGCATGTGGACAGCCCACCCCAAGGGAGGAATCAGAGAAGGGATGCACCCCCACCCCGACTGCCACAACCTTGCCAATGTATCAAACCCCAAGTCAAGGATCAAACCATGCACTTGATCTCTTGAGTGGCCCACTTGGCCCTCTTCCAAGTGTACTTTACTTCCTTTTGTTCCTGCTCTAAAGCTTTTTAATAAATGTTCACTCCTGCTCTAAAACTTGCCTCCATCTTTCCCTCTGCCTGATGCTTCATGCCTCTCTGTCAAATTCTCTCTTCTGAGGAGGCAAGAATTGAGGCTGCCGCAGACCCATGTGGACTTACCACTGTTTACAATAGATCACACAGCAGCGAAGGAGACAGAAACGCCACAAAAGACCCTGCAGCCGGTCAGGGAAGGAAGCCTGAGCGTCCCACACGGCCAGCCCTACCAGGGGGACTGGCGCGAAGAGCCTAACTGTGCATTCCTGGAGAGAGCAGGGGAGGGTTCAGAGCTGACAGCAGCACCAGGCCAGGGGTACCACGCACACCCCAAGACTCATCTCCATTCCTGCTCCCAGAGGGAGGAAACAACCTGGGTGGGAAGCATGGTCCTGAGGCAGTCCACGTGCTTCTGGACTTCAACGCAGCTGGATCCACTCCAGGTGTCCGTGAAGGACTATGGTCTCGGTGGTGTCCGGACACACTGAGGCATCCTCTCTACCCTCACTCACTCGCCCGAGATGTGCTGGGTCCCCAAAAGCCCCAGTGGGACTTCCTTGAACGCACCCGCCCTTGCGCAGCAGGAGGCAAGGGAAGCCGCATGTGATCCTTATAGATACCTGCACCATCTTCAAACGTTCAGAGAATCCCCCACTGACCTTTGCTTTCTGCCTTTCCAGCTCCTTTACAGTTGAGATGTTTTTTATTGTCGAGTCATGCTACAGCAGAATGTTCGTGTCCACCACAAAATGCCTGTGTTGAAACCCAGTCCCCAGTGAGATGGTTCAGATGTGGTAATGAGGATGGAGGCCCAAGACAGGATTAGGATGAAGATCCCCAGGCTCCCCCTTTCCGCTAGGCAAAGGTGCAGTGTGAAAACAACAGTCTGCAAACCAGGGAGTCACCTTCACCAAGAACAGCCAGCTGGCACCCTGATCTTGGACTTCAGCCTCCAGAACTGTGAGAAGTAAATTTTTGTCAAAGCCATTTATCCTATGGTAGTCCGTTTAGACAAGTCGTAAGAGTTATTTATATATTCTGGATACTGTGCCCTTATCAGATATATCATTTGCAAGTATTTTCTTCCATTCTATAAGTTGTCTTTTCACTTTCTTGATGGTATTTCTTGAAGCACAAGTTTTTCATTTTGAAGTCCAACTTATCTTTTATTTGGTTGCTTGTGTTTGTGGTGTCACTTATAAGAAACTATTGCCGAATTTTAGGTCACAAAAATGTATACCTTTTTTTTTCCTAAGAGTTTTATAGTTTTAGTCTTACAAATAGGGGTTTCATCATTTTGATTTTTGTTTGTTCTGAGACAGAGGTTTGCTCTGTTACGCAGGCTGGAGTGCAGTGGCGCAATCTTGGCTCACTGCAACCTCTGCTTCCTGCCCTTCTGCCTCTGCCCTTCCATGAAGACATCTTTAGCCTGCTCAGGCTGGACACACTGTGCCAGGCTTGCTATATGGATGGCCGCCACCCTGCTGCTCTTTCCTGTTTTGGTTCCCACAGCCCTGGTATGGATGCTACCTTGCTCAGCTTTACATTATACCTTTGGAACTAAGTTGTCTGGAAAGGAGAAGAGGAAATGTAGAACCTTGGTCTTTAGAATTAAAAAGCTGTGGTCTTTTTATTATACCATATTTCCTGCTTGCTGTATTGTTTCAGGTTGTAAGGCAGATAACCGAGAGTTGCCTCTCCAAAAGGAACCCCTAAAGCATGAAACCACAGTGGGTTGTGTAAGTGTTAAAAAGGAGATATTGACTAAGCACCCACCTTTTTTAAAGCCTGTGAAGTTGTGAATCTACTAGAGAAATATCAGGGAAATCTTTGTAGAGGAAAACTAAGAAAATGTTTAAGTACTAGTCAAGTAAATGTGAAGATAAGTCATAGTGATCCATAAAAACATTCCATGGGAGAAAAGCCAGGAGTGTAACAAGGTTAACAGCATCCTAGACTTGACTTCAAACCCTGTAGCATATCTGAATGTTCCTACAAGAGAGAAAACCTATTAAGGTAATTCATCTGGACACAGCTTCAGATAACTCACATTTTAACAATCACCAGAAAGCCCACATCCTAATTAAATCTCATAAACACGCAGAATGTCAGAGTACAGCCTTTAATGAGCACTGAAATAATTACCGTGGAGAGGAATTGTGTAGTGTAGTGAACATGGTAAGCCTTAAGAAGGACTAATGCAATTTAGAAAACACCATACATTTCACTATGAAGACAAGTTCTATGAAGGCACAGTGTGGGAAAACCTTCAACCACAGCTCTAATCTTGTGTAACACCAGAGAACCCACATTGGAAATAAGCCCTATCAGTGTAACAAATGTGGAGAGGCCTTTGTTCAAAGTTCTATTTTGCCATCACAGAACTCACACTGGAGAGAAACCCTATGAATGTAATGAGTGTGAAAGAGCATTCTCTCTGGGATCAACCATTATGAAGCCCCAGAGGAATACTACTGGTGAGCAACCCTACACACATGTAAACAATGTGGGAAGGTCTTTAGTCAGCATCCAGCCTTTATTTGACATCTGGAAGTTCACACAGGGTAGAAATCTTATGAACATACTGGATGCAGAAAACCCTCAATAACAGTTCTGCCCCCTTCGCCATGGAAGAGCAGACTGGTGAATGCAGTGTACAAATGTAATAAAGACAACTTGCTAAAGGTCATTTAAACCACAGGTCAGACTAGACCTTAGAGCAGTACAGTTCCTCCAGGATGTGACTGCTGTGTGCTGTGACCAGAAAGTAAATTACACTGTACTAGTTTCAGCTGGAAAACAGTAAATATTTTTCTGAAACATTAATCTGATCTTGCCTCTCTCTGCTTAAATCCTTTAATGACGTCCCACATCTTATAGCAGCATTTCTCAAAGCTGCTAACAGCAGAGGTAATGTGGAAGGAAAATAAAATAAGTAATATTAAAGTTTAAATAATAAACATAACATAGGTAATAGTTAACATTTAGTGTAGGCATCTATACATAGGCTAAGAAATTTAAGCAGCCCCGCCCAGCATTTCTAGAAGGTGCAGCTGCAAGCTTATCTCAACCTTCCAAGCTTACCTCCGGCCTCCCGACTCCCGCATACTTCTGTAATTCCTGTTTTCCCTTACCCCAACTCTGTCCAGCTTCAAGGTTGACTGGTCAAGATCACTAAATGTAAGTTTTCTCAGAATTGTCACAGGTTGAATAATTTACTGTCTTTGTCTGAAACTTGTATCCTGCCTTGTTTTTCACGCCTCAAGCGACAAATAAGGAAGCCTGCTTTCTCTGTCTGGGTCGGCAGCCATTTTGGGCATGAGCCTGCTGTCTGCCCAGGTGCCCGATTTAAAGTTGTCTTTGGTCTCCAAAGGTCTCTTTGTCTTCCATTGCTAAAGTGTTTTTTTGTTTTTTGTTTTTTTTTTTTTTTGAGAGGGAGTCTCGCTCTGTCGCCCAGGCTGGACTGCAGTGGCCGGATCTCAGCTCACTGCAAGCTCCGCCTCCTGGGTTTACGCCATTCTCCTGCCTCAGCCTCCCCAGTAGCTGGGACTACAGGCGCCCGCCACCTCGCCCGGCTAGCTTTCTGTATTTTTTTTTTTTTTTTTTTTTTCAGTAGAGACGGGGTTTCACCGTGTTAGCCAGGATGGTCTCGATCTCCTGACCTCGTGATCCCCCCGTCTCGGCCTCCCAAAGTGCTGGGATTACAGGCTTGAGCCACCGCGCCCGGCCTCCCTGGCTAAAGCTTTACTGCAACAGTAAGTGCTCACTAAATACCCCTAGTAAGTTTGGGATCAAGGGAGTAGGAAAGCTGGAAGAAAAGAAATAGCAGTCAACAGGAGAAGTGAGGAACCGACCCTACTGTCCTTAAAAGGCCGGCTTGTGCCAATGGGCCAGAGTGGAACAGGCATCCCATGGAGTATACCTGGAAGATTCCTGGGTCTTCTGCATGAGTTGCCCCTAATGGCCACAGTGTTTCTAAAGGAGAAGGCAGGTACGTGGTAATTGGGGCGGCCATCCGTGTTAGCTAACTGCCTTTATCCAAAGTTAAAACAAACCTCATATCTCTATGACAAGCAGGCAATTACAACTTGGAGCCAGCCACCTGCTAAATTCCCAGAGACAAGGAGGGGAAATATCTTCCTTGGCCTTTATATTTCAAAGAAATCACTCTAAGGTCCTTAAGAAAGACATTCCTGGTTTATAAAACTGGCAAGAGGCTTATGTAGCTTTTTAAAAAATTTGCATATATCTCAAGAGGGCAAAGAAAGATTTTTCTATTAGAAAGTTTTCTAAAAGAAATGGTCTTGGTGAAGGGAAAGGAGTGTCTCTTCCCTTGGGCACCACGAAAAATCCAACTTTTAAAAAAATATTTAGGGCCAGGCGTGGTGGCTGACACCTGTAATCCCAGCACTTTGGAAGGCTGAGACTGGTGGATCGCTTGAGCTCAGGAGTTCAAGACCAGCCTGGGAAACATGGCAAAACACCACCTCTACAAAAAAATACAAAAATTACGGGCGCCTGTGGTCCCAGTTACTCCGGAGGCTGAGGTGGGAGGATCGCTTGAGCCCAGGAGTCGGGCAGTAATTGCGTCACCGCACTCTGGCCTGGGAGACAGAGAGAGACCTTCCCCCAAAAAAATTAAAAAAGATTTAGTGTGGTGGCACATTGCCTGTAGTCCCAGTTACTCGGGGGGCTGAGGCAGGAGGATCGCTTGAGCCCGGGAGGTCGAGGTTGCAGCCTGGGCGACAGAGCAAAACCCCGTCTCTAAAAAATAACATATATACCCTATGGCTCTTCCCACAACTGCTCATTCTCTGACATCTCAGTGCTCCCACTGTCCCGCTGAAGACAGGATGCTTTCCTTTCCATTCTCTAAGTCCTCCCTCGGGGCCCGTGCTCCTCACCTGCCCAGGTCGCACCTGCCCTCTCCCCTCACTCCGCTTCACCCCCGCCCGCCGCCCGGTCCGCACGCGCGTCTCAGCACCGAGCAGTTGGTTCTCCAATTCCAGCTCCACCGGAACAGGTCTGAAACCTCTCTGCACCTTGGCTTCCGCATTTAAGCGATGGCAGCAGCCTTCTCGAGGGGGCGGTGAGGTCAAAAGACTTACAGGTGGGAAGTGCAAGGTGCACAGTGGACGCGAGCTGGATTCTGAGCTTGATCACTACTTGGAGGTGGGGAAAAGGCGCCCCAGAGAGGGGGACAGTCCGCAGCCAGACGTCCTAGGTCAGGAAGGGCCGGGTCCAGAGGCCGGAGAACAACCCGCGGCTGAGGAGCGTCCGCAGGAACGCCCGGTGTTGGGGTCTCTTCCTTCCTTCGCAACCGCACGCCGCCGGCGGCACCTCTGCGCCTGCGCCCTCTCACCCGCAGATTCCGCCAAGGGCTTGTATGGGCTTAACCAAGAAGGAACAGGACTGCCGGACCATTGAGTACTATCAGCCGCCTAGAGCGGACCCACGAAACCTGGAATTCAATTGGTTGGTGAGCTGAGGGGCAGGGCGGAAGTTCAGATTAGGAATTCAATTGATTGGTGAGCTGAGGGGCAGGGCGGAAGTTCAGATTAGGCATTTCCGGTCCAGGGAGTTTGGCTCGCCGCGGGGCGGGAGTCAGCGTTCGTGCTCCTTCCCTTTCCGTGGTCGAGCTGAGTGAGTCCCGAGCTAGGGCGCCTGGTGCGGAGGTGCCGGAGCGGCGCTGGGGCGGGCAGGGACGGTGCCGGGGTTCTGAGGGGCCAAAGGACGCAGCTCGCGGCCTCAGTGACCCGTAAAGGACGTGCCGAGGGCGGCTGCGGGTTGTTGAGCGCCCGCTTTGTGTTGACCGAGGGGCGGGCAGGGCGAGGGTGATGTGAGGCGGGAGCGGAGGCGGCGGGGCGTGCGGGTCCGCGGGCTGGCCTCCACGCTCCCGAGCAACATTGAAGCAGGGAAGCCAGATGGATAAAAAGGCCTCGCAGAGGAAGGGAGTTTGGGCAATGTAAGGGGATGAGCTGAATTGTGCTTTTTTTTTTTTTTCTTTTTAGAAGACAGAAAAGTGTATTTTATTTAGCAGGAATGGATTGAAAGGGTAGAGCGGTGGTGTGAAGGAGCGTCTGCTGTGGGGAAGGAAAGGAACAGGCAGGAGATGATATCTCACACATGCGCTGGAACAAGCTGAACGCTCATTCGTTTAGTAGGCACTCGGTAAATGCTGACTTACTGATTAAGACAATTGAGACTTAGTATTGTTTGCGGTTTGCTAATACTGTGCTGAGCATTTTATACATATTCTCATTTAACTCAATATAGTCACTTAAGGAGTAGTGTTAATCTCATTTTATGGTCTGTGGGAAAACTCAAGTCACTTACCTGAGACCTCCGCATTAGTAAGTGGTGGATCCAAGGTTAGAACTCAGTCCTATTCGAGTCCAGAGCCCATGCGCCTAACAGCGACATTACATGCCTCCCGCATGAGTTTAGGAGTGAAGGCAGAGTGCGTTAAGAGGCACCGCTTGTGATTCACAAAGGGCAGAAGCAGCAGGGGCCAGTCAAAGGCAAGCCCTGTCTGACGACTGGAAGATTCCCTCTGACCAAGGTGTGCCTCAGCTGGAGACTGTGAAGACATCAGTGAGCTTGTGTTCATCGGCCAGTGAGAAAATCTGTCCAAGAGAGGCTTAAATGATGAAGATGAGGCAGGGTTTGTTCCAGAGTTTGTTGTGAAGTGCCAGGGCTCTAGAATGTGTCTCTGACTTTCCTTTGTGGTCACTCCATTCCCCTTACTTCCCTTCAGATGCCTCTTGGCAAACTTCCCTTAGCATCTCGGTGACGAGAACTGGGCCTTGCGGTCACCTAGAGCCGAGGGAAAAGGGCGCATTTCCTCCTGAACTAAACGAAGGAATTTGTTTATGTGCAGAGGGCTGTGAGGAGGTGACTTGCTGTGTATGCCGAGGCCAGTTGGGAAGGCTTTTGTGGGAGTGACATATGTCACTGCTAAAATAAAACCAGATTTGTGGTTTTAGATGTCATCTGTGTACTGACAGTTTTCAGTATGTACCCAACCAGCCCAACCTCACTCTTGAATTTTCAATTTGTATATCCAAATGCCCTAATTTTCCATTTGTAAATCTAATAGGTATCTTAAACATTACTGTATACAAGAAAACTTTTACATTTAATCCTTCTGCAGTCTTACTCATTTGAGTATATGTAAATTTCATCATTTCAGTTGCTCAGGCCAAAACTCTTGGTGTCTCGGCCTACATGAAATTCATCTGCAAATCCTATTGATTGTACCTTTGAAATGTATCCATAATCTGACTGCTTTTTGTCACTTCTGCCACCACCAGTCTAGTCCAAGACATTCATCTCTAGCTGGATTGTTGCTAGAACCTTCTGACTGGTTTTGGTTTTTTCCTTACCCCCACCCCATAGTCTATTCAAAGCACCCTCAAAGCAGCAGCTGTAGAGACCACATCTGAGGTCATATCACTCTTCCCAGACATTCCAGGCACTTCCCATCCATTCAGAATAAAACGCATAGCCCTAAGGCCCGCAAGGTACCCTCCCCAGAGGGTACCCACCTATTTCACCCTCCCCTACTCTGTTCAGCCCCCCTGGCTTCCTTGCCTGTCCTTGAACACAGGTGTGCTTGCATCTCAGAACCTTTGCACTTGTGCCCTCCTCCTGCCTGGGATGTACCTCCCTGATATCCACATGGTGCCTACCCTCGCTCCATCCAGATCTCCGATTTGTTGTCACTTTATCGGAGGTGTCTTCCCTGGCCATCCTGTGTAAAATATCTCCACCACCAGCCGCTGCCCTCATGCTGCGGCAATTATTCTTTGTGTGTCACACATACATGTCAACTTCTCCATTTGCTCATTCACTGCCTCAGCACAAGAGCCTGGTCCGCTGTTCTCAGCTGTTTGCCCTCTGCCCAGGACCTCATAGGTGGGCCTGGGAAATGCAGTCCATTCTCTCTCCTGGCCAAGTGCACCGCGAGGGTCCTGGCTTTCACATGGTGGCCTCAGGATGCCGTCATCCCAGGGGCCTCAGGAAAGCCTCTCTTGAGACATGGAGAAGTATAGCAGGAAAGTGGGGAGGGGATATGATCTCAGAGACCACTGGCTACTTTTAGTTCATCCACCTTTCCTGGGGTGTTCAGGCAGCTCATAATTGGGTCTCTGCTACTACAAAATGTCTGGGCCCTCTTAGAGCACCTGTGGGGAGCAGAAGGTTGGTCAGGCTCCATCACCCTCTTCTCCCTGCGGCTCTGCCCACACCTCAGGACAAGCTCAGAGACCTAGTGATGGCTGTCATGCAACTCCTTAGTGGGCTCCAGGTGAGTGGTCCTCATGGAGACTCTTCCATGTGACCTCAGCCTTTTCTTGGCAGGAGTCTGTCTATGAGGGGCTGGTCCCAGAGGGTGGACAGCTCCCTGTCTCCTCCGATGTCCTCTGTTCCTGAGTTCAAGTCCCTGAAATGTACTTCTCACTGTTTTCCTGTCCCTGGACCAGGTACAGTAGAGGTCAGGGTTGGGGCACACCAAGATGAGCCAATATAGTGTCTGCCTTAAAGAGTTGACATTAGTGGGGAAGACAGGTACATGTTCCCAGAGGGATTTTACCAGTCCTGAGCCTAGTGTCTTCTCCCTCCAGTTCCTGACCTGAGGGCTGCATCAAGATCTTGTCATTCCACATCATGGTTTCCTTTGAGGATGTGGCTGTACTCCTCTCCCAGGAGGAGTGGGACTGTCTGATCCCTGCTCAGAGGGGCCTCTACAGGGATGTGATGCTGGAGACCTATGGGAACCTTGTCTCACTAGGTAAGTTCCCTCCCTGGGGCTCAGCTCCTGGGCTTCCTGCTCCTTAACCTTGAGGCTCAAGTTTGGGGCTCAGAGGCTCCTCATATTCTGGGACCAAAGACCAGACATTTTGACCCTGGTACCATGCAGGTCTAGTTTGCACAGAGATGGGAACAGGTGGTACTGGAGCCCTCCTTGATTTTTTTTTAATAGGCAGTGTCTCACTCTTGCCCATCCTGGAATACAGTGGCAAGACCATAGCTCACTGTAACCTTGACATCTTTGGTTGAAGAGATCCTCCCACCTCAGCCTCCCAAGTGCCTGGGACTATAGACAAGGGCCACCATGCCTGTCTTATTTTATTTTTTTAGAGACAGATCCTGTATGTTGCCTAGGTTGGTCTCAAACTCCTAGCCTCAAGGAATCCTCCCACCTTGGCCTCCCAAAGTTCTAGAATTACAGGCATGAGCCAGCATGCCTGACCAACCCTCCCTGATGTATAGAAGGAGAATATTATTCATTGCACAGTTAGTACATTCCTATCCCCGAATTAATCTTTCTGCATCTTGAAGATCAGTGGTAGGATACACAGTTTATAAATGAACCTGAGGCTAACAAATACTGTCACTTTTCATAAGTTTACACAGCCTATTGGTGGCAGATCTGGGATTTGGATCTGTTTAGTTTCAGGGCCCTGCTTTCCTTTCACTGGAATGTACTCTTCCCTTTAGCCCTTTTTTTTTTTTTTGGTTTCTGCTAGCCTTTATTTGAGAAAATTTACACAAAAATCCCCAATCCAACATTTACAAGTGAATCTGTATAAATCCCATATGCCTCTTTCCCAAACAAACTGAAAAATGGCTTTATGACAGGGGTCCATGACAATGGTATAACAAGATTTACTTAAACTGCATCATTCTCATTTAAGTTATACTGACCATTTTGGATAATATGCTCAAAAATGGAGGAAAGCACATAACACCCTTGTTTTTAAAGCTTATTTCCTCTTGTATCAGTCTTTTGTCAAAGGCAAATACTTTTACTTTTTGGATAAAACCAAGGTATAATATCAATTAACTTTTAAACCAAAAGCACAAAATGTCCCAGTTGATAGTTCTGGCATGAGTAAAGGGAAGGGACATGAAAGAATGTCAATTCCTACAAAACTTAAGTTTAGGGTCACACTTGGGAACAAAAGCATCAACAAAATAAAATATTCTCTTCTCCTATCTTCTTGACATTTTGTCACATCAGAAGAACATAACAGAGTAGCTTTCATTGCTCCTAAAAAGGGGAAAGGCACCAGTCAGAAATAGGAAAGAAAATCTTGTTAGGCTAATGGTACATGATAGAATTTCACATTAAAAAGTTTACAGATGGAGGCTGGGCATGGTGGCTCACACATGTCATCCCAGCACTTTGGGAGGCTGAGACCAGCAGATCACTTGAGGTCAGGAATTCGAGATCGGCCCGGCCAACATGGTGAAACTTCGTCTCTACCAAAAATACAAAAACCAGCCAGGCGTGGTGGTGTGTGCCTGCACTGCCAGCCACTTGGGAGGCCGAGGCAGAAGAACCATCCGAACCCAGGAGGTGAAGGTTGCAGTGAGCTGAGATAGCACCGTTGCACTTCAGCCTGGGCATCACAGCAAGACTGTCTCAAAAAAACAAAGTTTAAGGATGGAGCTTTTTTTTTTTTTTTTTTTTTTTTTTAAATTCATTTAACCACTCTGTCTTTTGACTGGAGAATTTTTTTTTTTTTTTGAGACAGAGTCTTGCTCTGTCGCCCAGACTGGAGTACAGTGGCTGGATCTCAGCTCACTGCAAGCTCCGCCTCCCAGGTTTATGCCATTCTCCTGCCTCAGCCTCCCGAGTAGCTGGGACTACAGACGCCCGCCACCTCACCCGGCTAGTTTTTTGTATTTTTGGTAGAGACAGGGTTTCACCGTGTTAGCTAGGATGGTCTCGATCTCCTGACTTCGTGATCCTCCCGCCTCAGCCTCCCAAAGTGCTGGGTTTACAGGCTTGAGCCACCGCGCCCACCCTTTAGGATGGATCTTAACCCACATGTTATTTTCTCTACTTGGATGCATCCTCTGTAACTTAGTATATGTAATACTACAGATAGATTTTTTCAACATCTGCTGCCTATGGTAAGGACCTGCAACCAGGTTCTCAAAAGCAGTACCTGCCAGTTCTTAACAGCAGATGGCAATGTTGTGCAGGTTAACAACGGAACTACTTTTATGCCACCCCAGAGGAAGATACAAGAAGTCAAAAGGGAAAAAAAAAATAGAACCGATTTGGGTTCATAGTAGCAGGAACATAAACAGAATAGCCTGAGATTTTAACAACGTAACTCATTCCCTCTTCCACCTTTGTACTTTATCCAGGTCAACACATCAGGATTCTCTAACAATTCCAGTATTCTGCTGCTTTACTGTAAGATACATGTAATTCTTGCCACTGTGATTAAACAAGCCCTGTAATGTCAGCAGGGTTAAAAAGAGATTACAGAAAGGATAAACTCCTACCTACTTTCTTGGGAGATGTGGGAAAGATTTCAAGTGACAACATTTTTCATAACTGTTTATAAACATGGTCATTTATATTCACGTTTTCTCTTATTTACATTAGTTTTGACCCTTAGGCACCTCATACTCCTACAGTGATTATTGGCTTTGCTTTCATTTGTTTTGGATTTTTAAGTATTTACTCTAAATGGTCCTCCTAGATATCTATTTTATACATCATATCTCTTAATTCTCTAGATGGAACGCTGAAGGACAGGAATTAAGTGACTGGCCATGCAAGAAGAGTTGGAAATTTTACTTATTTTTCCTTGGTAGAAGTTATGTTAATTCAAGCAACCACGTATCTAACAGAGGAGTTTTATCTGGGATGTATAAAAACTCTCAAAACTCAATACTTAAAAGAACAAATGACTTAAATAGAAAATAGACAAAAGACATGAACAGAAATTTCAATGAAGAGGATATATAGATGACAAATTAGCATATGAAAAGATACTCAACATCATTAGCCACTGGAAAATGCAAATCAAAACCACATGTGGTATCATTACACACAGCTATGTGAATGGTTAAGATAAAAAAATAGTAGTAATACCAAACACTGGTAAGGATGTGAAGAAACTGGATCAGTCATACATTGCTGTATGAATTGTATGAGTGGCTGTATGTAAAAGGTACAGCCACTCTGGAAAAAGAGTAGGGTATTTTCTTACAAAAATGTACATGTTTACCACACAACCCAGCAATTGCCTTTTTGAGCATTTATCCCAGAAAATGAAAATATATGTTCACATAAAAACCTGTACATGAATGTTCACAGCAGCTTTATTAGTAAGGGCAAAAAACTGAAAACAACTCTCATGTCCTTTAGTAGGTGAATAGTTAAGCAAACTGTGGTACATCCATACCATGGCATACTACTCAGCAATCAAAAGGAAATGCCCAGACTTCACTACGATGCAATATATGCATGTAAGAAATCTGCACTTATACCCCCAAATATATGAAACATTTTTAAAATAAAAAAAGGAAGAAACTATTGATACATGCAACAACTTGGATGAATTTCAAGGGAATTATGCTGAATGGAAAAAAGTCAACCTCATAAGATTACATTCTATATAATTCCATCCATACAACATGCTTGAAATGACAAAATTGCAGAGTTGGAGGACAGAAGAGTGGCAGCCGCAGGTTTTGGTGAGGGGATAAGAAAGAGATGTGGCTGTGGCTGTAAAAGGGCAGTGGAAGGGATCCATGTGACAGAACTGTTCTGTCTGTCATGATGGTGGTCACATGAATCTACACGTGATAATACTGTATAGAATTAAATGCACATACACGAAAAGTGTTCAAGCAGTTAAGCACGAATATTTTAATTGTCTAAAATGACATTTTCTTTAAGAGTTATCTACAGTTCGAAGCTCACTTTTATGAAGTGTCACATGCATCACCATTTTAAGAGACATAAAATCATGAAAAGATATCACCAGAAGCTACATAAACGTTTCAGCTAAGGGTAAAGAGAAAGTTAAGAGTGTTTTCGCAAGGAAATTGAAAGAGGGCAATCCAAATGAAGTCATTATGGTCACACAAAAATCTTGGTAAAAGAACTAGAATGGAAGCCCAAACCGCTGAGCAAGTGGGAGAAGAAAAGAAAACATGGTTCAAACAGATCACACAAGGGAACCCAGGACAAATGCTGACTTTGACATTATCTAGGTAATTCCTATCTTTCTGTCATAGGTGACTCTAATAATAGACCTATTGTTGCAAAAACCAGTCAAAATTCTACCAAATTAAAAAGAAGTCCCTCATTGACTTGTTGGGTGTAGGTTGGTACCCCATGTCCTCCCACACCAAAAGAGATCAGTTCTGGCAAGAAAGCTCCAACCCACCTTGATGGTGCTGCTGATAGGATGCCTTAGGCCAGGCATGTCCCAGCGATGTTCTGCTGGCTGAGGTACAAGGTGGGAGGAGAATATGCCTCATTCATTACTCGATCAACTTCTTGGCCTTGAAGAAGTATTGCAGGTAGAAGACCTGCCAGGTGGCTAGTCCAATGAGGCAGAACATTGAAAAGATGCTGAAGTATAGGACCCAAGTGTTTGTTGACTCATTGGTATCACACATCTCCTCTCCTCTCTTCTTCATGTAGGCAAAATCATTAACAGTAGATTCTGAAAGGTCTTCTAGGTGTTGCAGCTTCACCTCTAATGGTTTGAGCTTCGCAACTTTTGCAATCTCTTCATAATTTTTTGCCTCCACTCCATGCTTCATGTCTAGCATCACGAGTTGGTCAGGTATCTGCCCTGTTCCCTTGCTCTCAAAACACACTTCAAACGTCATAATCTTCAGTGGTAAAGGAAAATTTCCCCCTTGGTTGCCTCCTCTTTGGAGTAGAAAATATGGCCAGCAGAATCTGTAATCTTGAGGTGGCTGCGCAGGCCGCCAGTGCCCCCAGACTGGTCGGAGATCTCATACGCGCCAGTCACTAGCAGGTCCTTGTAGATCTCCTCATGGAGGCACTTGCAAGAATTAATGGGCAGATGGAAGGAGATGGCAAGGACCAAGCTGGGGCTGAGCAGGAACAAAAGCAGCAATGCCAATGGACAAGGGCCATGCCAGGCTGGTGGGCCGGACAAACCAGACATGGTGTTGGAGACTCATTCCCCCTTTAACCCTTCTGCTGGGCATCAACACCTCCTACTATGAGTCCTCTACCATGATGTGTTCAGGCCACAGTGCTGTCCTATCTATGCCCCCTGTCCCCCTGAAAAGCTAGTTTTGACCTTTCTTCAGCTTAGGCAGAGGTCTGTGTCTTTCTTCACGGTTAGAGACCAGGTGGCAGGGAAACACACAACCATCACACAGACTCAGACCACAGGTCCATCCTACCCTCTACCTGGGTGAATTTTTGGCTCTTGTTTCCTTTCTCTGGAACAGGACTGCAAGCTTCCAAACCTGATGTCATCTCCAGGCTGGAGCAGGGGGACGAACCATGGACCCCACACATCCTGAGAACTCAGAGGAGCTGGAGCTGGAGGCACAAGAGAGAATGTGAGTCTGCTCCCACTCTCTGCTTCTGTGGTAGGTGCTGCAGCTTCACTCACGAATCCCTTCTCTACAAGCTCCAGACAAATCTCTTGTTACCCTCAGGCCTTTGCTTTCCTCCTCCTTTTTCTATCTTGTCCTCTTTTCTTGCTGTTATTTGCCCCTGTTATCTCTCCATAAGTAGATTTGTGTTTTATTTACCCTAGAAAATGCTCTTTCAGCCACAAAAAAGAGTTCAAGTGTCTTCCCCTGGCAGCTGGCTCCCAGTCTCTTCACTTCCATGTCATCCACTCCTTAGGCTGTTTGGGAAAAATGCTAATTACATTTTTCCTCTGCTCTGACACCACAGCAACAATCAACAAAGACTTTGTGACCAAATGTGTGGAGGGCTTTTCCCATGCTCCAAACAGCTCTAATTCAATTCCATTTTGGTGCTCTCTTCTTGGAGATAGCCTGACATCCCACAGGCTGAGGGCTCAGTCTCTGAGACTGTCCTCTCAAGGCACTACTTGTAAGTTCAAGATTTCCAAACTTCAGACCAACAGGATTCAAGTCAGAGTTCCCATGACCCTCACTCTGGGTTCTATTAATTTGCTGGAGCAGCTCACAGAACTCAGGGAAACACTTAGATTTGCCAGTTTAGGCCGGGCGTGGTGGCTCGCGCCTGGAATCCCAGCAGTTTGGGAGGCCAAGGTGGGCAGATCACTTGAGGTCAGGAGTTCAAGACCAGTCTGACCAATATGGTGAAACCCCATCTCTACAAAAAATACAAACTTAGCCAGGCGTGGTGATGTGCATCTGTAGTCCCAGTTAGGAGGATGAGGCATGAGAATCACTTGAACCCAGGAGGAAGAGGTTGCAGTGAGCTGAGATCATGCCACTGCACTCCAGCCTGGGTGGCAGAGTGAGACCCTGTCTCAGAAAAGAAAAAAAAAAAAGATTTACCAATTTATTGTAAAGGATAAAGGTGAAGAAATGTGTAGACTGTGGTATGGGGGAAGGGGTGTGGAGTTTTCATGCCCTCCCTGGGTGCATCACCCTCTAGGATCCTATCTACTTAGCTATCTAGCAGCTCTCTGAACCCTGTCCTCTTAGGTTTTTATAGAGACTTTATTATGTAGATATGATTGATTAAACCATTGGCCATTGGTGATCAACTTAACCTTTAGCTCCTTTCCCCTCTCTGAGTTTGGGGCTTTGGAGCTAAGAATCCTGACCCTGAAATCATGCCTTGGCCTTTCCAGTGATCAGCTTCATCCTAAAGCTGTCAGTCAACATAAGCCTACGAAAAGAAAGCACTTTGGAGATTACAAGGATTTTAGGAGTTGTATGCCAGGTCATGGGGGTGAAGACCAAATATATATTTCACACTGCCCACAGGGTTTGCTGACCAGCTCTGTTTTGGCTGCTTGGAGACGCCACTTAGAGAGACGTTCTCTTCCAAGTCTCTCATTCCTGCTGTTATTCACTCAGAGCATCCCAGGCTGATTCTGGGTCTTAAGGAAACAGATGAGCTAGAAAGCGTTTCTTCCTGTGTAGTGGGGGGCCTGAGCATGTAAACAGTAAGCAGAACAGAGTCCTGGGGATCCATGCTGCCACACAGCTAACGTTGGTCATTTGTGCTTGATGCAGGCCTGGCACTGTGCTGTCACAGTGAATTTATGGAATTTGCCAATATCTCTTTACAATCTGTGCCCAGGAAACTGAGGCACAGAGAGATTAAATGGTGGCCCCAGATCACACAGCCGGCCAGGGACAGAACAGGGTTGAGTCCCTGGCAGATTTATCTCAGCTCCATACTCTTATTTATTTTCCTTAAGGAACCAGCTTTATTGAGGTGTAATTAACATACAATATGTTAACAAATATTTAAAGTATATGATTTTGTATGTTTTGACATATGTATACACATGTGAAACCATTGCTACAATCTAGGGCAGATATATCCATCACCCCCAAAAGTTTTCTCCTCCTTCATCATCTTTCACTCCTTCCCACCTTTCTCACTTCTTCCCACCTTTCTCACTCCTTCCCACTTATATCCTGAAGTAATTACTGATCTCCTTTCTGTCACTATAAATTATATTTTCTAGAGTTTTATGTGAAAATGGAATCATTGAGCATGTATTCTTTTGGTCTGGCTTTTATTCAACATAATTATTTTGAGATGTGTTTATGTTGTATATCAATAATTCTTTTTATTTCTGAATAATATTGTATTGTTTGAATATACTACAATTTGTTCATACTCTGTTAACAGACATTTGAGTTGTTTTCGTTTTTTGGTCAGTATACATAAAGCTGCTGCGAACATTGCCTTCCACTCATCTTGTACCTCCCTAAGTTGTTGTGAGTTGTCAAGAATGGTTACTAGTCTCTCCCTTGTCCCCCAGGTGCAGTCACTCGTCCAGCATTAAGGCCAGGATTCATTGCTTTCCAGGGCTGCTGAATAGCTATGTTCCTGGCACTTTCCATTCTTACTCTCTTACATTGGAGTCACCATCTATTGAATTCCGTGTCTATTTGTTCATTTATTCCTTGTTTTGCTGAAGTACATCCTCAAATAGGTTGAGCCCTTTTGTGTCTCAATATGGCTTTATTCTACCCTCATGTTTTTGAGTCCTTATGTATGAAATGTTTTATAAACTTCATATAAGTCGAATTATTTTATTCAGTCTGACAGTCATTTTTTTTAGAGTGTGCAGTAAAGGGTTAACTCAGAGGCCTGCACTGCCCAAATCCTGCATATTCCAAAGGTCTTTAGGACTAACCCCTTGACTAGCTTCTTGGAGGTAACCTCTAAGCTGTTGGAATATTCTGCCTGGTAAAAGTATTTGAGTACACCTGGGGCCTTGGGCTGTGCTGGTTTATGCTAACTATGTGATTTAAAGCAAATGCTTATTTCTGTTTGCCTGGGTCCCTGGACCACAGTGTATCAGATTAACCCCTGAGGGAAGCTGTCAAGGTACCTGAGTGCCCCAAGTCCATGTACTAACCATTAATAAAAATCCTGAACACTAAAGCTCAGGTGAGCTTCCCTGGTCATCAACACTTTGCATATGTTGTCACACATGGTGGCCGGAAGAATTAAGGTCTGTCCAGGTGACCCTACTGGAAGAGGATACCTGGAAGTTCACACTTGGTCTCTCCTGGACCCTGTGTGGCATTTTCCTTTGCTGATTTTTAATTGTATCGTTTTGTCCTAATAAACTGTGTAATTGTGAGCATAAGAGCTTTTCTGAGTTCTGTGAGTCAGAAAATTAGTAAATTATCGAACATGAAGGTGGATTTGGGTACTCCTCGCAGAGTGCTTTGTCCATGTAAATGTAACACAATTATTGATAAAATTGAGAGTAAGTCTGCCATCTTGCTATTTGTTTTCTATTTGTCTCATCTGTTTTTTTCCTATACTATATTTATATATATATATATATTTTTTTTTTTTTGAGATGCAGTCTTACTCTGTCGCCCAGGCTGGAGTGCAGTGGTGCAGTCCCAGCTCACTGTAACCTCTACCTGCCAGGTTCAAGTGATTATCCTGCCTCAACCTCCTAAGTAACTGGGACTACAGGTGCCCACCACCATGCCTGGCTAATTTTTTTTATTTTTAGTAGGGATGGGGTTTCACCATGTTGGCCAGGATGGTCTGTATCTCTTGACCTCATGATCCAGCCACCTCGGCCTCCCAAAGTGCTGGGATTACAGGCGTGAAGCACTGTGCCCAGCCTCTTATATTCTTTTGAATAAATCAAACTTTATATGTAATTTTATGTTTCTTCTCCATTAGCTTTTTACCTGTACATTCTTTCTTAAGTGATGACTCTAATGATTAAATATGTCTCTTTGACTTACTGTGGTCTACCTTAATATTTTTACCACTTCTTGGAAAATGCAAGATCCTTACAATTCCTTTCGTCCCTCTCCTTCCTTTCATTATTATTGTCACTTATTTTGTACTACCTACTTTGAAACCTCACCAGAGAGTTTATTCCATTGCTATTTCTTGACAGTAAATATTCATTTAGAGTTACCCTTTCTAGTGTTTTTCATTCCTTTCTGCAATTCTGTACTTCTGTTCAAGATCATTATTTTCAGTTTGAAATTTTTCCTTTAGTATTTCTTGTACTTAAGTAGGCATTATTCTGTGAGCTTTTGTCTGAAAGTGTCTTTGTTTTCCTTTCTTGATTTTTTTCCTTTATTCAATGGATATGATGTATTAATTGATTTTTGGATGCTAAACAAACCTTACATTTCTGGGATAAGTCCCACTCAGTAATGGTGTATAATTTTATATATATATATAGTGGAATTTGATTTGTTAGCATTTTGTTGGGGAATTTTGTGTCTGTATTTATTAGAGATACTGATCTGTTGTTTTATTGTCTGTTTTTGGTATCAGGGTAATACTGTTTTCATTGAATGAATCGGGAAGTGTTCTCTTGTTTTTTTGGAAGAGTTTGTGAAGAATTAGTATTAAGCCTTTTTTTCTATTCTGTAGTTCATTAGTTTCTGTTATATTCCTTATTTTCTACCTTCTGCTTGATTTGGGTTTAGTTCTTTTGTTTGTTTGTTTGTTTTCCCCAGTGTTTTCAGGTTGATTTGGGTTTAGTTTGTTTGTTTGTTTTCCCCAGTGTTTTAAGGTAGAAGATTAGGTTGTTGATTTGCTCCCTTTAAAAAAAAAAAAAAGTAGACATTGAGGGATGGCCAAGACAGCCAAATACAAACAGCTCCGGTCTGCAGCTCCCATTGAGACCAACACAGAAGATGGGTGATTCCTGCATTTCCAACTGAGGTACCCAGTTCATCTCATTGGGACCAGTTAGGTAGTGGAGAGGGAGTGGAAACAGGGTGGAACATTGCTTCACTGAGGAAGTGCAAGGAGCCAGGGGACCTCCCTCCTCTCCCAGCTAAGGGAAGCCATGAGGGACTGTGCTACACAGCCTAGGTACTACACTTTTCCCATGGTTTTTACAATCTGCAGATCAGGAGATTCCCTCATGAGCCTA